CAACTATTCCAACCATACGAGCAAACAAGAAACAGGCAAAAAAGAGGCAAACAGATAGGGTGGATAGAGAGAGAGAGGGCGAATAAAACGGCAAGGGTGAATTGGGGGAGAGGAAAACGAGAGGCAAATGGCAAATAATGTAATGCGACAGATAGGGATTGTGATGGGTACTTGGTATATTGACTTTTTGTGTAGACTCCCCGGCAACAGTGCCAGAAATCCTTCTTGCTACATCTTGAGCTTGCGTTGGTTTTCCCCGAAGAGGAAGGGATGATGCAACAGAGTAGCGTAAGTATTTCCCTCCGTTTTTGAGAACCAAGGTATCAATCCAGTAGGAGCCCACGCTCAAGTCCCTTGTACCTGCACAAAGCGATAGCTACTCGCAACCAACACGATTAGGGGTTGTCAAGCCCTTCATAGTCACTTACGAGAGTGAGATCTGATAGATACAATATTTTTGGTATTTTTGATATAAGGATGCAAAGTAAAAAGTAAAAGCAAAGTAAATAGCAAAACAATATAAAAGTGATGGAGATTGATATGATGAGAATAGACTCGGGGGCCATAGGTTTCACTAGTGGCTTCTCTCAAGAGCATAAGTATTCTACGGTGGGTGAACAAATTACTGTTGAGCAATTGATAGAATTGTGCATAATTATGAGAATATCTAGGCATGATCATGTATATAGGCATCACGTCCGTGACAAGTAGATCGAAACGATTCTACATCTACTACTATTACTCCACTCATCGACCGCTATCCAGCATGCATCTAGAGCATTAAGTTAAAAACAGAGTAACGCCTTAAGCAAGATGACATGATGTAGAGAGATAATTTCATGCAATATGAAATAAACCCCATCTTGTTATCCTCAATGGCAACAATACAATACGTGCCTTGCTGCCCCTTCTGTCACTGCAAGATCGAACCCAAAGCTAAGCACTTCTCCCATGGAAAGAACTACCAATCTAGTTGGCCAAACCAAACGGATAATTCAAAGAGAGTTACAAAGATAACCAATCATGCATAAAAGAATTCAGAGAAGATTCAAATATTATTCATAGATAGACTAGATCATAAACCCACAATTCATTGGTCTTAACAAACACACCTCAAAAAGAAGATTACATCGAATAGATCTCCACAAGAGAGAGGGAGAACTTTGTATTGAGATTCAAAGAGAGAGAAGAAGCCGTCTAGCTACTAACCGTGGACCCGAAGGTCTGAGGTAAACTACTCACACTTCATCGGAGGGGCTAGGATGATGTAGAAGCCCTCCGTGATGACGGCCCTCTTCCGGCGGAGCTCCGGAACAGGCCCCAAGATGGGATCTCGTGGATACAGAAAGTTGCGGCGGTGGAATTAGGGTTTTGGCTCCTGTTCTGATCGTTTGGGGGTACGTGTGTGTATATAGGAGGAAGGAGTACGTCGGTGGAGCACCGAGGGGCCCACGAGGCAGGGGCACGCCCCCTAGGGGGGCGCCCCCCACCCTCGTGACCACCTCTTTGATCCCTCGTAGTAGGGTCCAAGTCTCCTGGATCACGTTCGGTGAGAAAATCACGTTTCCAAAGATTTTATTCCGTTTGGACTCCGTTTGATATTATGTTTATCCGAAACACTGAAATAGGCAAAAAAATAGCAATTCTGGGCTGGGCCTCCGGTTAATAGGTTAGTCCCAAAAATAATATAAAAGTGGAAAATAAAGCCCAATATAGTCCAAAACAGTAGACAATATAGCATGGAGCAATCAAAAATTATAGATACGTTGGAGACATATCAGTAAGCCCAACGTGTTAGAATACAAGTTGTATAGGGATAGGAAAGTGGTTTAACTTGTATCCCTGTCTATCTCTTCTTCTCTCCCGTATCTTCTGTAAATCTCCCAAGAGGATCATGATCGATCTTTGAACTTGTACATCAAGGCATTGGCCACATATATACTGTTGGAAATATGCCCTAGAGGCAATAATAAAATGGTTATTATTATATTTCTTTGTTCATGATAATTGTCTATTGTTCATGCTATAATTGTGTTATCTGGAAATCGTAATACATGTGTGAATACATAGACCACAACACGTCCCTAGTGAGCCTCTAGTTGACTAGCTCGTTGATCAAAAGATAGTCATGGTTTCCTGACTATGGACATTGGATGTCATTGATAACGGGATCACATCATTAGGAGAATGATGTGATGGACAAGACCCAATCCTAAGCATAGCTCAAAGATCGTGTAGTTCGTTTGCTGTAGCTTTTCTGAATGTCAAGTATCATTTCCTTAGACCATGAGATTGTGCAACTCCCAGATACCGTAGGAGTGCCTTGGGTGTGCCAAACATCACAACGTAACTGGGTGACTATAAAGGTACATTACAGGTATCTCCGAAAGTGTCTGTTGGGTTGGCACGAATCGAGACTGGGATTTGTCACTCCGTATGATGGAGAGGTATCTCTGGGCCCACTCGGTAATGCATCATCATAATGAGCTCAATGTGATCAAGTGGTTGATCACATGATCATGCATTACGGTACGAGTAAAGTGACTTGCCGGTAATGAGACTGAACAAGGTATTGGGATACCGACGATCGAGTCTCGGGCAAGTAACGTACCGATTGACAAAGGGAATTGTATACAGATTGATTGAATCCTCGGCATCGTGGTTCATCCGATGAGATCATCGAGGAGCATGTGGGAGCCAACATGGGTATCCAGATCCCGCTGTTGGTTATTGACCGAAGAGTCATCTCGGTCATGTCTATATGTCTCCCGAACCCGTAGGGTCTACACACTTAAGGTTCGGTGACGCTAGGGTTGTTAGGAAGACTTGTATGTGATTACTGAATGTTGTTCGGAGTCCCGGATGAGATCCCGGACGTCACGAGGAGTTCCGTAATGGTCCGGAGGTGAAGATTTATATGTAGGAAGTTGTCATACGGTCACCGGAAAGGTTCGGGGGCATATCGGTATTGTACCGGGGCCACTGGAGGGGTTCCGGGGGTCCACCGGGAGGGGCCACCTCTCTCGGAGGGCCTAATGGGCTGTAGAGGAAAGGGAACCAGCCCTACATGGGCTGGCCGCATCCCCCCCTTGGGCCCATGCCCCTAGGGTTGGGGGGGGGAACCCTAAAGGGGGCGCCCCCCTTGCTTGGGGGGAAAGCCCCCTCCCCTTGGCCGCCGCCCCCCTCTAGGTCTCATCTAGAGGGGCCCGGCCCCCTTCCTCCTTCCTCTATAAATAGAGGGGCAAGGGAAGGGCTGCACACAACATCTAAGGCGTAGCCCCTCCTCTCCCCAACACCTCTCCTCCTCCGTAAGAGCTTGGCGAAGCCCTGCCGGAGTACTGCAGCTTCACCACCACCACGCCGTCGTGCTGCTGTTGGAGCCCTCTTCCTCAACCTCTCCCTCCTCCTTGCTGGATCAAGGCGCGTGAGATGTCCTCGCTCCGTACGTGTGTTGAACGCGGAGGTGCCGTCCGTTCGGTGCTAAGATCTTCGGTGATTTGGATCACGACGAGTACGACTCCATCAACCCCGTTCTCTTGAACACTTCCGCTCGTGATCTACAAGGGTATGTAGATGCACTCCTCTCTCCCTCATTGCTAGATGACTCCATAGATTGATCTTGGTGATGCGTAGAAAATTTTAAAATTCTGCTACGTTCCCCAACAGTGGCATCATGAGCTAGGTCTATGCATAGTTACTATGCACGAGTAGAACACAAAGCACTTGGGTCAGATGATGCAACAAATTATAGAAGCATTGTAGGTGCATTACAGTACTTGACTCTTACACGTCCTGATATTTCATATTCTGTTAACAAAGTATGTCAATACTTGCATGCTCCTACTACTTCTCATTGGACAACAGTCAAAAGGATTTTGAGGTATCTCAAGTTTACAGAGGGACTTGGTCTTCAGATTGTCAAGTCTTCATCTATGCTTGTGTCAGCCTACTCTGATGCAGATTGGGCAGGGTGTGCTGATGATAGAAGGTCAACAAGTGGTTTTGCTGTATTTCTAGGAACAAATCTTGTGTCATGGAGTGCAAGAAAACATGCAACAGTCTCAAGGTCAAGCACTGAGGCTGAGTATAAAGCTTTGGCTAATGCAACAGCTGAAGTAATGTGGATTCAGACATTGTTACATGAACTTGGAATTAAAGTTCCACAGGTTGCAAGATTATGGTGTGATAATATTGATGCAACCTATCTTTCAGCTAATCCTATTTTTCATGCATGGACAAAACATATTGAAGTTGATTTTCACTTTGTCAAAGAAAGAGTGACACACAAACTGCTTGATATAAGGTTTATTCCAACAAGTGATCAACTTGCTGATGGATTCACAAAGCCTCTGACAATGAGGAGGTTATATGATTTCAAGTACAATCTCAACCTTGGCAAACAGGGTTTAGATTGAGGGGGAGTGTTAGAAGACAAATTGTATAGGGATAGGAAAGTGGTTTAACTTGTATCCATGTCTATCTCTTCTTCTCTCCCGTATCTTCTGTAAACCTCCTGAGAGGATCATGATCGATCTCTCAACTTGTACATCAAGGCATTGGCCATATATATACATCGCAGCCCGAGACAAAGGGTTCTACGCTTCCTCATACAACGGCCCGTCACGCGCTATGACCAGCTCGCGCACGTTTGCGCCTTACCTTTGCCGTGTTGTAAATTCATTATTTGATAAAATCTAAGAGCATAAATCAACTCTTATAAAAAGCATAAATCCATTCTTTTGAAGAAGAGAGCATATCTCACATGAATGTTTTTTTTTTCTTCTGTAATCCAAAGAGGCTCTGAAGGAAACCACAACCCTTATTCCGGCCCATTTCACTCTCTCTCTCTCAGTCTCTCTCCTACGACCCCGGCCCAAGAGGGAAACCACAACCACCCCACCTCCCCTCCTCCTCCTCCCCAAATCACAAACACCGAAGAAGAGAGGAGACGAGAAAGGGGATCGCCGCCGCCGCCGCCGCCGTCGCCCAGGATGACGTCGATGCTGTCCGCGTTCTCGTCGTGGTTCGTGAACCCGCGCCGCAACCCGCTGGCCCGCATCCACATGCTCACCATCTCCAACCGCCTCAAGAACTACGGTAACCTCCGATCCGATCCGATCCTTCGTCGTCTCAATCGTACTGTAGATCTGATCTCCGCGCGAGACCTGGTGATCTGAATGCGTGCGTGCGTGATTGCTCCAGGCCTGAGGTACGACGACCTGTATGACCCCTACTTCGATCTGGACATCAAGGAGGCGCTCTGCAGGCTGCCCCGGGAGGTGGTCGACGCCCGCCACCAGCGTCTCAAGCGCGCCATGGACCTCTCCATGAAGCACCAGTACCTCCCCGACGACGTCCGGGTCCGTCCCTCTCCCTGCCCCCTCCCGCCCCGCCCTCTAATCTGCGCGGATCTTTGTCGATTCGCGTGCCCACGTGCCTCCGGTTTGTGGGATGTGGATATGGCGTACGATTTACCTGATCGATCCTGGCCTTCTCGAGGGCCTGTGCGGTAGCTGCGATTTCTCTTTGTGTTATGGCTGATGAGAAATTGGATCTTTTGCCCCACTTTACTTCTCCATAAGATCATTTGCCCCCCCTCCTGAGAGGCTACCGGGTGGGGCCCGGGGCCACTGTCATTGAGACAATCACAGGGCAAATCATCCAACCCCTTGTAAAGTGGGGCAAATCATCCAATCCCCCGGCTGATGGTTGCGCGTCTAACGAAATGAATGGGGAAAGTGAGGTGCATAGTGCATTTCGGTTGCGTATGTGGTCTAGATGAATCTACTGGGATGGTGTCTCGGATGCTCCATTCGGTTCATCCACGCTGCATTGCAATTCGCACTATTGTTTGTTGCCTAAGAAACCGGTGAATTAGATGCTGGAGATTTCAATAGTTTGGAGGAGAGAAGTTGTACCCAGCAATTATGGAATTCATATCTGAGTGAGAAATGGTCATGGTTTAGGTTTGAATAGAATTTGAAATGTCACATGAGAATAAAGGATTAGGTTTGATAATAAAGCATAAAATTGTTGAAATCTATTATATTATACTAGCGAGTCAGATTATTGTTCACAATTTTTGCACGGTTTAATTAGTCCTGCGGTCTTATGGTGTCATTTTTCAGTATGTAGTTTGAATCGCTATTTATGATGCATCAATTGTTTCGAGGTTTATATGTATTTTGGTGTACAAAGTTCTTTCTCTGGATGCATTTTGCTTAGATGGGTTTGAATGAATACCCAGCCTGTTGATTTATTCTTCAGTGCTGAAGATGTTATAGATTATTTCCCCCCTGAAGATCCATTAACTCATATGACCTGTGAAGTGCTGATGTGTGAGAAACAGGTCATTATGAACTAACCATTCTTTCAGGTTCAGTAATCAGCTGTTGATTACCATTACACTAGCTATTATCAAACATATGTAATAAACACAGGTCTTCTGAAACCTTTATTTTTTCTGTACAGGCACTACAGACACCATTCAAAAGCTATTTGAGCGACATGCTGGCTCTGGTAAGTGCATTTGCTGATGCTTGCCTTTTGTATTTTCATGTATTAATAACTTACGATATTCTGTATGCTGCTTTGAAATATTTACCCACTTCAAGTACAAGTGTGCTACATTTCGGTCATGCTGTAGACTTCAGCCTTGCACTTTTCTGCATCACCGCGTTTATGCAACATGTATAGATTAGCTTCAACTGCCAATCCGTTAATAGTGTTTGGTACTATGAGCCGGACGGAGAATGGACCTTCTGATACAAACTCATTTGTCTGATTTGACGAATGGAGTGGGTTGATCCATCATCCCAAAACCATTGGATGGCCCCATGATTGGGCAATCCATCATAGGATGAGGTGTGATGCCTCAAATTAAACACCCTATGTGTTTTATGTAAAGCAGTTTCATCAAGTTCCTCCCTAAACCATGCTATCTTGTAGTTTTCTTATCCTTTACATCTTTGACCCTGAATATTAATCTCGCTCCTTACTTTTCTTGGCCATTTTGCATTTAGAGCATGTTCTGTGAGATGAGTAGTTGAGTACAAGATGGTACAAGCATACAGCCATAAAATTTGTGAATTCATGATCTATGTATGTAAGGTGGGACTGATGTATATAGCATCCCAACACCTCTGCCAACTTAGTTTGCCAGTTCCTAGAACTAATTATTATTTCTACATACAAGTATTTCTCCAAACAAGACTGGTGTTAACCTAAATAATTCCTGGGCTTCAAGCCGGTGTTTTGATATTATCCTGTGAAGCTATTTACCATTTCAATACCATTAAGACCTGTTCCAAGTTGGCTAATGTTTTGATCTCACATTCTGTTGCAGGTGAAAAAGGAGGCAGCAGAGCGTAAAGCACTGGGAGCCCTTCCTCTCTATGAGAGAACCCTTCCTTGAAGACATCTTCCTTGATATGCGCCACAGCTTTTGCTCCTTGTAGCATCACAATGCATGAAATAAAATGCAGATTATGACACTGTTCCTCCTTCGGGTTTCATGTCCATTGCCTGTAGCAGTTTCTTGTGCCCCTTCCCAAATTAATTGCGACAGAATTTCTGTTGCTGTTGCTGATATAAAAGTTTATTTTGGTTGATGGAATTGTTGCTATAGAAGTCTGAACAACTCTGCTCTTGGTCTTTTTTCCATTGAGCAACGTTTTTGTTGCTTGCTTCTGGGTTTACGCTGCCCATTTCGACAGATCTGTGGTGCTAGTGATCTGCTATGTTCCGTGAATTGTTCTTCCGAGCTTGCCTAGAGATGTTTCTTTCTCAAAGTTCTACAGTGCCGTAAACCAATTACAAATTGTCCTAGTAAGAACTTGAAAGAAAATCCAAATATGCATGCACAAGAGGGTGCATAAGGTATCATTGTTCATACTCCAACTAGCCCGTTACCTGTCCCCTGTCTTCTCACCCCCCATGTTGGGGTAAATCACCCTGTTGCAGTACGTTTTGTTTTGTTTTGTTTTTCAAGTTCTTCCTTCTCCGTTTCATCTCCATTGGGTCAAGCTTGCTCGTGAAGGATGCCGGTGCTCTTGTGCATGGCCCCCGCATGTGCTTTACGTCTTATACGCTGATGTCCTTTCCCTATTCAGGATCATGCACTCATCAACACATGTAGCATGCACGTCAGGCCATGGTGCCCTAGCGAGGCTCCATTAACGTCAACTGGCTGGAGGTTCGGGGGGAAGGAAGGCGATGGCCCATTGTGCCTTTCTCTTTTGGATCTCTTTTTCACTTGTTCTGAAATTTTAGAGATTCCTCCGTTCCTAAATATAAATATTTTTAGAGATTCTAGTATAGACTACATAGAAGCAAAATGAGTGAATCTACACTCTAAAATATATCTATATGTATATATCCGTATGTAGTGCTTTGAAATCCCTAAAAAGACTTATATTTAGGAACAGAGTAAGTACTTTTCACGATGATAACTTAGTTTGTTTTGGTAAAAAAAAGTTTTTTTTATAGATTAAAGGAAATATTTTAGTCAAGTCGTTCCTCGGTGACGTCCTTCCTGGTGGGAAGCATTACATGACTGTTGCCAATCCAACAAGCAGAGCGTTGGCTAGTTCTACCATAGCAAGCAACGAAAGATGTGTCACGAGAATTTGTTTTATTGAGACTCTTCTGGTTTTCTCTCAAGGATGATGCGGAAGTATGGTTTAATTGATTACCATACGGTAGTATAATCAGCTGGAAAATGTGTGCAGAGAGGTTTGTGGCTAAATTCCTTCCTGGCTCTAAAATCACCAAACTACGAAGAAATCTTAATTCCTTTGTTCAAGGAGTAGAAGAGAGTTTATATGAAGCTTGGGAGAGATACTCTAAAATTTTAAATCTTTTCCCCAACCATGGTTATGCTGACCGTTATACACCATATGTTCTATCATGGAATTAAGATGAATCCAAGTCTACTCTTGATTTGAGTGCAAGTGGGCGTTTTATGGCTTTAAATCTTGAAGAAGGAAAGTCACTCATCGAAATAATTATGACTACTAAGGAGCAATGGAATATTGAATAACCAGTGAAGCCAACATGAAAAATCTATCATGTTGAAGAAATGGAAGAATTTGAAAATGTTGCTCAAGAAAAAGGTAAACCTATTGAATAAGTTATTAATGAAAAAGTGGATATATTTAGTATTTATCAACAGGAAGACGAGCTTAGAGAGACGATGAATAAATTTAAGCTTCACCAAGAGAATTTCAACAAGGATCTTCGAAGGTGTATTTACCATAATGAAAAGGTTATATCTTATCTCTCTGAAGAAGTAGATGGCTTGAGTCATGCCATGAAAAATCTTGATAAACATTCCTGCATGATAGAAACTCAATGCTCGCAAATCTCTGAAACTCAATCTTTGATTCTTGCCTAACTTGATAAAGATAATCTTGTTTCTTATAACTGGATCGACACTCGTAGTGGTAAAAAAAGGCATGACCCTAAAGGACCTGCATGGTACGAGAAGGAACAAGCAGCAAACAGGAGAGAAAGTCAGGGCCAGACCCAAGAAGATAAAGAAGTCCTCTACGACAATCCAGAACAGGAAGAACCCGTCCGACAAGATGCACAAGATAATGAAGTAGAAGGGGAGAATGACAAACAAGTTGATCCCAACACAGAAACCGTCGATGGTGAATGAAGAAGAAGAAGCTGCCGCAGAAGCTGATAGAACTGTAGAACCTAGGTGGAAAAAGAGACTAGACCACCCTATCCAACAAGGGGTGGAAACAATCAAGCTTCGAGGAATCAAGATAAAGGTAAAGAGAAGGAGAAAGAAAAAGATAAATGTAAAACGAAGAAAAACCTTCCTTACCCTATAACTGTTAGACCACCTTCAAATGATGAACTCTTGAAAATCTTAGAGTTTCATTGCATGTGACCGAAATATTAAAGATTCCCACTTTTGCTAAGTTCATGTGTGATATTGTTAACAATAAAAGAAGTTTGAATCTGAAAGAATAGGTGACTATGATAACAAAGTACCCATTTGAGGACAAGGTACCTAGGAGACCCAGGTATACGTACAATCTCTTGTTCAATTGGTAATCTCGATATAAATAACGCTCTTTGTGATATTGGAGCTGGAGTCGGTGTGATGCCCCTAGCTCTCTATCACAAATTGAATTTGGAGAATGCGTTCCCACAGGTATAACCTTGCAGGCACCATACATCGGCGGCTTGCCAGGCCACGAGGCAGAGCAGCGGGTCCGCGCTGAAGACGAGGCCCAACCACCATACCAAATTGCCGACACCTCCTCATCCTGCCGCCATCACCATGGATCTGGTAGCTTAGCTAGCTTGCTAGTACTTGATTGATCGGTCGATCTTGGTCGGGAATCAAAGGAGATGAGGATGGATGGAGGTTTATATATGTAAAAACAAATCAAAGCTTAAAAATGTACTTTTTACGATGATAGCCTAGTTTGTTTTGGTATAGAAGGGATTCTTATGTATCAAAGGAAATAGTTTATGTCAAGTCCTTGCTCATGGGAAGCATCTACATGACTATTGCCAATCCAAGAAGCAGTGCGTTGGCTAGTTCTACCATATAGCAAGCGAAGTTGTGTGGCTACAAGGATTTTGTTCTCTCTGCTAATCTTCACAAACCTCATGTAGCTAGTAACCAAATTACTGACCTGATGTATGTTATGGACCAAACGACACAGAACTGACTATAGATTACAACGTAAAACGGTAGGTGAGAAAAAGAAGCATTCTCCCTGTCAATAACTTTTTTTTCGAGGGACTGTCATGAATATTTTGGACTGCACCAACTAAACACCCCAAGGCCAAGCCAGCTAGCACTTGGCATGCTACACATACACTATCAAGGGAAAGGTAACATCAGCTTTGTACAAAATATCAGTAGAGTTTCCTCCGTTTTAAGGACATCCAGAACATGCAATTAATATATTCTACAAGCTCCATAATAGGTCACATGCATAATCATATCTAACAGTTAACCAAATATGAATCTCAACAAAATATTTCTAGCAAATGAATAGTTAACCGACATATGGTGAAATAAAAGCTTCAAATACTCCATAACAGTTCAACACGACATAATGACCTCTAAAGTGTTATCAACAACATAGCCCTAATGTAAGGTATAAATGCGTGGGTTGTGCAGTGAAGAATAAACTGAAGGTGCTACTCCCATAGCACCTCGATGCATGCATGTTGCGGCAAGGTTTACCTGGAAACATTAAAAGAACAAGAGGGTGAGTACAAAGACTCAAGTACATAAAGGATTAATAAACAATGCACATGTCAAAACACTAAGTCTCTATTCAGCATCATGCACTCATCAACACATGTGTTGGTGTAATACATGCTTACATGGTCATCTCATCTCATTTAATTGGGTATACAGGTATCACTTGAGTGGACCCTCGTCGGCATCTACTCACTCCAACATGTGGAGATTGCCTCCAAAGTGGGCGGCAACCCTACCTTGTAGTTCTCAATGTGCCTACAGAAGTAGGCTACACTTTTTCCATTGCCATCATGAGTGCAAAGTCAAAATTAAGACCAACCAAACACCCCCTTAGTAGCCTCATTGTGCCCTTAGAAACGAGTTCTTTTTTCATCCCGGTGACATTCAAGAAATAAACACTTTCTTCCATTGCTATCATGAGTGCAAAGTCAAATTTAAGGTGACCATTGAAGAGTGACACTACAAGCAGTGTGTGAGGCTACCTAATTGATGCCTGAACCAAACATATGCAAACTAGCTAGAAACACGAAACTAACCCATCTTGGGCAGAAAACTAAAGGTGATATCCCCACAAGTAAAAGAAAAACACACACAAAAGGTGGTATGCAACAATAGCTGCAAAACAGATCATACCTAGTTTGAACATCTACATGTGAAAAGATCGCCATTCAAGTCAAAATCGCGGAGATGCTTGGTGCCTGAAACAGCATGTTGACAGCTAGCAGTTGTAAAACGAAACCGAGCATCTCTTGCAGCCCTGTTATCTATCTGAAGCCTCCTATGTTGTTCTGCCAAGAACTCATCGCTGTAAACACCAGCCTCGATATGAAATGTCATCAGCTCCAGCACTCTCGCGTTCAATACAAAGAATTCGGCAAAGTTAACATGCGGCCACGTGCCCAGATACGTTTCCAGCACCACAATCTTCAGACGGATGTCATGGCATCTTATAAAATCCTTGTGTTTACGACGCCACCAATTTGTTTCGGATGATACACTGGACTGAAAATAAAGATAAATAAAAACATTAACTATGCTTGCATGCATGAATAGCTAGAATACCAAAGTTACGAAATCACCACCTTGACGTGTAGCTCCTCCAAGTTTGGAAATAATCTCATCAAGCGGACAATGTTGTCCAAAATAAGTTGGTCCATATTGACGGCTATACTCCTGACATTATTGCGCACCACCTTAGTCGTCGGGCTATCATCAAACAATCCCTTAATGCAACATGTGTTACAAAATTAGGCCAAGGACGGATGAAACACGATTTCTCCTCAAAGAAGAAACTAATACAATTATAATGCAAGTTAACTGGAAGCCTCTCCCTGAAGACAAGACATATAAATTAAGGCCATGATTAATTAGTAACCTGATGAAATCCCTGCAAATCAGGAAGGAAGTCCAAGGCGTCCACTTTAAGTGCGGTGTATACACTACCAGAATTTGATACGTTGCCGACGGCCCATCACCGTCGGCATAGGGCCAAAAGCCGTCGGCAAAGGGTTACGCCGACGTCCCCCGTCGGCAACTCGTACGTCGGCGTACCTCAGGTCGGCCGTCGGCATACAAAAACCGTCGGCATAGTGAGCTAAGCCGACTGGGGCCGTACCACCGTCGGCATACATACATCGTCGGCGACATTTTCCACCTGACGGACGTTGACGGCGCCACCTGACACGTGGCAGCTCCTGAGCGACCCTGTCCTGGCGGTACGCCGACGGTTGGGCCGTCGGCATAGCCCCGCAAGCTATGCCGACGGCCCAACCATCGGCGTAGCTCATGCCAGGCTTCCCAGAAGCTGCCACGTGTCGACCGCTGGTAACACGCCAGAAGCTATGCCGACGGTTTAACCGTCGGTGTAGCTATGCACTATTTTCTTTTTTTTCCTGTTTTTGTTACATTTCAATTCAAA